CCCCAAAACCCCAAAACCCCATGCATCTGTATAAGAGAAAATACTTATAAAATAAAATTCTTAAATCATAAAAACAATTATAACGCTAAAATGACAGACAATTACTAGAAAAGTATGAAGCTTTTATAGCCCCATTTTTCTTAATTTTAACACCTATTTCATGTGCTAACGTGATAACATAGATGCAATTTTAGATAACTATGATGATGAGATGTTTGAAAGAGAGGAGGATACTGCTACTCAAGAAATGCCAAATATGTAAGTGATTATATTAGCAAATCAATAAAGCTTTAATTTCATAATTAGATAAAACAAGAAGGCAAGCGAGAGATCAGTTCACAGTAGCCAATCTCAAAAGAGTGGGAAAAAATCAAACGGAACAAGAGGGGTTCAAAGCAATCAGGATTCACTGATACTGAGAGACAAATCTTAGAGAGAAAACAAGGACTAGTATGCACTTCCTGGAGATGATGAGGAAGCCGATGAAGATTATTATGATTAAAATGCTAACAATCAGCAAATGTAGCAGTAAAGCTAGCAAGTATCAAATTCTCATACTAATGATCGATCTCAAGTGATACATCAGGAGCCTCAGCCAATTAGAGACAATTTTCAAAATAGACCTATGACTGAATAAAATGCGCATTAGAATCAAGAGTATATGACGGAGTAATTCCAATTAAATAACTCCTCAAACGGAGCAGGAAATATGATTGAATATCAGGGATCCAATAATAAATCAATAATCAAAGCTAATACTAGCGGTGGTATTGTTGATCTAAAGGCTTCAACTTTTAGTCAGAGCAACTAAAGGCCAACTACATAAGGAGTAATAGGCTACAACGTAGTACCTGCATTTAATAATAGTATGAATACTTATTAGAATAATGGCATTGCTTATGAAGATTTTCGAGCAAATAGCAATCCAAATATAAACAACTTGTAAGTTTTTACTCTTATTGTTTTTAATTCTATCTAGAAACTCTTTTAATCGAAAACACTCGGATAAACCTCCAATTAATTTGAACTCTAATAAAAACAGCTAAATTCAATCTGATAAAGATTACTAAGGTTAGCTCTAGTACGGAAATTAAAGAGGAAGGCGCTAATTTATAACTTAAATTATTCAAAATCAAAATAATTCAGCCTAAGACGGGCCGTTTCATGGTGATGTTAAGACTTTAAACACTAGCAGTCCACTAAAGAATTTCGTTCAGAGAGAAAACTCAACTGGAGCTAACGTCCTTTAAATAAATCGTAAGAAGATCAGAGAACTACTCTATGGCGGATCAGCTTCTAGAGTAAATGGGTACAATAATCAGTAAAGCATGACTAATTATTTGGAAAAGGAATAGCTTTAGAATGAACGACGCAATTTGAAGTTGCAAATGAATTCAATGAAAGATGAGAATCTGAGGCTAAAGACAAAGCTGCAATCCAATATCTAAGAAATGACAAAGAAAGATAAGGACATCGAGATTCTCACAATGAAATTACAATAGTAACAGCTTGGCTAGTCTTAGTAAACTAGCTATAAAGCAGAAGGCAATATTTTTGAGTCGTTTTTAGTCTCACAACTAAAAAGGTAAAATAGAGATCTCAAGTAAGAGCTGGAAAGTAAAGACCTCACACTTGAAAAACTTAGAAGAGATTTGAAGTTGTCTAAATCGGCTGAAATTGAAGTTGAAATGCAATAGTACATTGATGAATGTATGAGACTTAGAAATCTGCTTGAAAACTATATGATGAACCCATCTATGTTTTCGACATCTTAACTCTAGGCTTAATAGTAAATGACCTAACAATAAAATCAGGTATAAGTCGATTAATAGGTTATTGACTAATACAACCAACTGTAGAACGTACTTTTTGAGAAGACAAATTTACTTTAAAGAGAAATGGATCTCAGAAACCAAATTTAGCTTTAACTTATGTCTGAGAAGGAAATGCGCGAGAAAAATGAAAGGAAATGGGATCTATAGGAATAAAAGATCAAGAAATTCAATTAAATTACTGAAGAAAATAAAAGGAAGCAAAAGATAATCTCAGATAAGCAGGCAGAGGTTAGTAGACTCAAAGAGGAGGTTGAACTATACAGAGAAAAGGCCAAGGAAAGAGATCAAATTTACAATAAAAACAAAGAACTCGTCACAAAATAATACAGCTATCAATCTTCAATAGACTATAAGGACAAAAAGATTCATGATCAATCTCAGTAGATATCCTAACTATAAGATGAAATAAGAAAACTTCAGAAGCAAAGATAAAATAACTCACCAGAGAGAAAAGTAACTGAAAAAATGTTGACTTTAGGTGGAGGTGGGGGCACTGATTAAAAATAACTGACTTATTCAGGGTAAAAGAGTGAAGTTAAGATTGATAAAACAGTGCTTACAAAAAATCAACTCAACTATACCCCAAATCAAGTTGAGATTATATTCAGAGCAATTAAAGGATAAGCTTTAACGACAATAAAAGATGCAATGGGCTTTAAAAACTATTACAATTCCCACAAAGATGATATACACAAAGAAATAGAATTTATTTAAAAGCTTGATATCCAGCAATAAATTGTGAATCATCTTCACCTAAACTCAGACAATTATCTTTCAGAACTCAAATCAGCACCAATGAAATATAATGTATTCACTGATTTAGAGCGTTTTGTAGAGAACAGACTGAACATTTAGGAGAAGGATCAGAAGAAATTTGTCATATTCCATTTAATTTACAGCAATTCACCCTCAATTAATGAGGTCAATTACCAAGGCTTGGTAGACTTAATTTAAAATATGAACAATGCTGGCAATGAAACACCAGCATCAGTAAAGGGCTCAAATAATCAAACACCTCCTTAACTGCAGCAATAGTTATCTTCTGATCAATCAAGAGCTAGCAATAAATATGCTAAAGCCCAGTCTTAGGCATAGACACATTAAGAATATGAAACTTCATAGATCATTGATCAGCATTAGCAGTAGTAATATAGCAGTAAAACTCAAGTATTACAGAAAAAATCTACAGAATAGTTAAACATCTAGGAATAGGAGGAGGAATACGAAGCAGAATCAACCGAGAAAGTTTAAGTTGAAGTGGTAAATGATAAAATCCAATCAGATCGAAACCAAATAACAAACAGAAGTTAATTAAGTCAAAAGAGTTAAAAATCATAGATAAGTAATAAATTGATATAGCAAAACTCAAAGCCCATGACTAACAGAGAATCAATATTAGAGGAAAAAAAGTAAGGTGTGGATCATTCAGCCAAACCTAGTGATGATCTAAATGAATAGCAAGCTCCTAGCACTGTCAGAGTTAATGAAAATATTCAGGAGAGTAATGCTCAGTTTAATCCCCCTTAGATGCCATCAGATACCAAAGTAAGTAAGCATGCAGAGAAGGCGAAGCAAGATTAAGATGATTATGAGCAAGATGATTTTGAAGATGCCACAGAGCAAAACAACTCTAATTTGAAGGAACCAAATTCTTAAAATGTGTCAGGAAACTAAATGAACATCAACTAGAATCAATATGAGAATGACGTTTAAAATGCCAGTGCTAATGAAGAACAAGAGGTGTCGATTCAAATCACTGAAGATCAAATGCTAGACATAGCAGAGCAGGTATTCTAGACTCTTGCAGACAGTCTTAAGAGCCAAAATATGACTGTCAAATAAGCATTCGGTGAGTACATCTAAGTAATAGACCAGTTAGAAGATGAGAAAGATGTCCTCGTTATTGCAGGAGGTGATTTCCTCATGGTACTCTAGTCGATCATAGGCGGTGATGGTCTCTCAATACTTGAAACATCATGTCTTATGAGAGTGCTTTCAAAGCAAGAGAAAGATCACAGTTTCAACTGTATAGTAGTCTCAGAACTTTAATTAGTTCTTGAGAACTTCGGCATCACTTCAAATAATGTCACTTCTAATTAAGACGTTTCTGGCATCAATCAGTCAATGATAAACGACCAGAGCAAGGATCAAAGCTTACCTCCAAATTAGCAATAAAATACCACTAACACCAAGAAGCTGACTAAGAAAAATTTTATTAAGGACGCTGTTTGGCGGGGTATGACTAAAAATGTGGGGTAAAACGACGGAGGAGAGCTAATATATCAGGTATTCAGGGAAATAATAAAGCGATTTGATGATAACACTCAATAGATGCTTGCAATTATTAAACAGGGCAGCTACGAGCAGCTAGTGAAGTCTAAGAAAAAGGAGCTAAAGCTAGATCTGATCAAGAGGGAGGACTTGCTGGCAATTCTTGAAAATCAGACATAATTGGCTCTAAGTGATGATCAGAATATTCAAGAAGCTCTGTCTATATTGCTTCAGATTGATGCCAAGTACCCAGATGTTCTTCAGTATAAACTAATTTAGACCTTAGTCAAAGAGGTCTCAGGTAGGATGCAGAAAGAAGAGGAAGAGTAGAAAACCTTGTAGGAATTCTACTAGCCTCAAGGCGAAGATAGTGAAAATGAAGAGGGAGGCGAGAGCAAGGGTAGAAAAGCAGAGGTGCTAAACTTTGACTAACTTATAAATGAGGATGACGACGAGGAGTACAACCACTATCTGGACCAGGACGAGAAGAAGGCAGCAGCTGCTGGTAAGCTCTAAATATAAAGCAAAGCTTTGGGTCCTATAGCGGAAGACTAAATTAACGAAGACACTTAATCACCTGTTAAACATTGAAAATTTTATAATCATTCTATAATTACTATCATTAATCTTTGAATTTATTTCTTATATTATCTTTATAGCAAGACATCTGCTCTTCTGGGGTTTTGGGGTTTTGGGGTTTTGGGG